CGCCTTCATCCTCATCAGTCTCAACTGAGAATCGCAACACCACACAAACCTGGTACATTTTGCAGTCCATCTCATCCTGCATCTGACGAATCACCAAGTTCGAGTCGCCACAAATTGCGACGCGCCCCCTGTCCAAGGTCGAGAGTAAATCGAAGCAAAGAATCAGTCCACGGTATTCCGCCTCGTTCACAGTCAAGTCCGGCATGTACTCCGGCATGGCTTCCACCACCATGCACTCCGGGATTTTCCACACGACTGTGCTGTATGCGCCACCGCTGCGCTTTACTCGCGCAGATCCATCAAAACTTACCACCAAGAGGTTCTAGTCTTGTTCGATCGTCGGTGGAGGAATGTTGATCATTTTACGAGTCTGTTTCTTGGATGCTATCCTAGGGATTCATCGACGTCAGCTCTGGGGTAATTCTAGCTGCAATTGTCCCAAGGATTTTGCCTGCCTTCTTTACACATTTAGTGACTTCTACCGTCCATCCTGATAGCTGTGCTGCCCATCTACCCAGTCGGCCGTCGAACCCGTTCGACTTGAGCAGCCAGGCCAATGTCGAGAATCGCGACAGGACCTTGATCGATCTGGTTTCCAGCTGCAAGTAACAGACGTCCAAGGTCCGCAGAAGAGCCAATACCTCTTTATCCACCACTCCATAGCTGAGTTCGTTTGCCTTCAGCGTGCGACTGGTGAAGGTCACCGGGTGGTACACACCATCGTGTTCCTGCATCAATGCCGCTGATATGGCCCACTTGTTCGCGTAAAGCACGATGACGGGGGTGCGTTCCGGGTCGAAGTGTTTCAGGACAGGTGTGGCGATAATCTTCGCTTTCAGCATAGTAAATGCGTTCTTCGCCCACCTGTCGGACTCGCCCTCAGCTATTTGGCTATTATCGGTTCGCGTCTCACGAGCATCTTCTGCATTCATCTTGGCAATATCGTGAAAGTCTGTTTCCCGCAGCTTGTACAAGATCGTGGTATAGACTGCGAAGTCCTCAATGAAGCGGCTGTAATAATTCAAGCTTCCGAGGAACGGCTGCAATGCCTTCAGCTTAGTGGGGAACGGAAGGTTGGCGATGGCGTCGAGCTCTTTCTGTTTCGCTTCCAGCCCAGCTGAGGATATTTCGTGTCTTAGATACGCTACCTTGAGTCGACCTCAGTAGCTCTTGGCTACACTGATCGACAAGTTCCACCGATAACAGACATCGAGCAGTTTGTCAACACGGTTGCACATGCTATCCTACGTGTCGCAAGTCACAAGGATGTCGTCCACATACAACCTCCGCCCGAGGGTCGACGGCTTAAGCTCCGGTTCCGGCTCTCCTTCCTCGCAGACGTCAACGGGGTTCGATCTGTCCTGATTGGGCTTGATGCACATATGACCGTACAGTGCATTGTCGACGATCTGCTGTTAGATCTAAGGGGCGTTCTTTAGTCCGATCGGCCACTCGAACAGCCCAAACGGAGTGATGAACGCCGACACAAGCCTTGCTCGCGGACCACCCAGAAGCCAGTAGCCATATCGAGGGAACAATACGAGAGCGCCTTGTCCAAGTCTTCAATGAGGTCGTTGATCAACGGCATGGGGTATACCATCAATCTCGTATAGCTGTTCACTACCTGGTATTCGATGCAGAGGCGGATGTCCACCCCGCTAGCCTTGATGATGACTACTATGGGTGACGCCCAAGGTGACGTGGAGGTAGTGATGATCTTTGCTGACAACAGTCCCTTGATGACCATTGACAACTTCTCGCGGAATTGTGGCGCTACCCGTCGACATCGTTGTGCCACCAGCTTTGCCGTTCCGACATCGATGTCGCAAATAGCTCCGAAAGCTGCAGGTGGTAAGGCGTTACCGGCTCCTATCAGCAAGTGGCGTCGCTTCCAGATGGTACGACGCAGTCGTTCGCATTCCTCCGGTGTCGCGTGTGGATCATCTAATTGTATGTCGTCGATGGTGACTTCCTTCGTGGTAGCCTCCACCTCCATTCCAGCAGGACAGCCATGTTGTTCTCGATATCTTCAGGGAAGATGTCGTCGCCTTCATGGTAGCAAACAGCATCGTCCATGTCATTGTCAGCTTCCTCTTTCGGTTCAACTTGTGTCCCTCTCCGTTCCGTTGATCGCGGCTGTTCTCGATCACTCTTGATCTCTCCCTTTGATTCCGTCGTGTTGATGCGACTTTCTTCCTCCAGTTGAAACCCTGTTGACTCTTCGCCCGCGATCTCTTGTGCAGTCTTCGACTTCCTTGCAGACGCCGACAAAACGATCATCGCCTTACGGCGTTCTTGTCTACCCGATAGGTTCTTGGTCGGCGACTTGTACCGAGGCTTGTCTACCATTGACTCTGTCTCAATTTCGACCACCTCGTCCACAGCTTGATGTTCAGTGGTGGCTTGCAATGCCAAGTTTTGCCATTCAGCGTATCTCCGGGACCCGATCGAGACAAACCCTGGCATCAGCGGTACGTGGTCTCCTGCCAGCCAGATACCAACTCGAGTATCGCGTTGTAGCGACACGGATCGTTGTGACACACAGGTACTGTGTACTACCCAGCCCTTTGACCGCCGTTGGTACCCACTGTTCTCCACTGGTGACTCACCGTTTCTGTCTGTCAGACGCAGATCTGTGGATGGCAATCTCCACCGATCCTGCAACCGGAATTTTACGGTGTTGATCGAAGGTGATCAACCTTGAGTTCCCGCTAAAGAGCTGGCGACGTCCGGACAGCTGGATTCTTACTTCGTCCGGGAGACACAACGACCCGCGGCCATGTCAAGACGGATCCCTGCCAGTACCATGAAGTCCATCCCCAATATCACCTCTTGGTCTGTCAGTTCTCCAACCCAAGAGTCGAAGTAGTACACGTATGCTCCTACGAGCGTGATCTTGATCCGGGTACGTCCTTCTGTCATATACGCGTTTTCTCCAATGCCAACACACTCTTGTTTTTGGCTGTCGTCTATAGCGCAAAGGTAGAATCCACAATCGAGACTTCAGCTCCAGAGTCGAAAAGGTGCGTGGTCTTTTCGTTTTTGATCTTGGCGGTTGACTTGGCTTGCTTGAACCACCATTTATCTGGAGCGTGGTACTTCCAATACCCTCGCGATTCTCCTGGCAGTAGGTCCAGCTCCATGATCACATCCGATCGAGAATAATCATTCTCTCGCAAACTTGCGACTGTAAAGGTACGCTTCTCGTGCAATTCACATGTATTGTCGGTCAGCTTACTAACCTTCCGTGACTTCCGCTTCTCGACGAATGCATAAATGCAGATCTCAGAACGCTTGGCTCGTACCAGATTCTAATCTGGCGAGCGTTCTA